CGGGATAAACTGCTGCGACTATCGCCAACCCAGTTCCACGAACTTTCTACCGATGTCTACGACGAATTGATCCGGCGGCAGCAGGCCTCGCCGCCTCCCGGACGACCACCCCGTCCAGACGTACCTCCTTACCTCCCCGCTCGCAACGATTTCCACGAAAAGCGCAACCATGCCCGCCAAAAGCTTGCCGCGCTCCACCACATTCGTTTCCGAGACCTGGCGACCGATGTCTTCTGTGAGCTGGAGCGCCGATTCCCACATTTCACGAGCCGAGAATACCGCGCCCGGCCGCCTCCCAATATGGGCCCTCCCAGCGCTCGTACCTCCCAGCAGTCCTCTCGGGGGCCTCCTTCGCGTATGGGACGAGGGTACCCGTCTGGCGGTCCCCCAGGCAGTCCGTTTCCTCCACGTAATGGCTCTCTTGGAGGGCCACCGAGTATGAATGGCGATGGGCCGTTTCCTCGGTCTTTCCAGAGCAACACTATGGTTCCGAATAAAAGTACGATGGTTGAGGATAGCGATGATATGGGACCAGAGGACGAGGACGATGCTCGGAGTGATGCCTTCGGTCTAGATGCTGTTTTGAGCCGACGGGGTACTACAACGACCCTGGGTGACAGTGAACGGAGACTGTTAGTGGAGAGCCAGGCACAAGTATCGGTTCTCCAAGATAAGATCGAGAAGCTGGAAGAATTGGTCCGCTCTAAGGATGAGGAGTTGGCCCAGTCATCACAAGATGCAGATTCCTCCGGGATCAGTCATAACGAACGTCAGGAGTGGGACGATTTACGTCACGAGCTTGAGACCAAGGTATCAAAAGCCGAGGATCTCAACAGCTCGCTTCAGCTAGAGCTTGAGCGGGTGAGAACCGAGCACGAGACCATGGAACGGGATCTTCACAGCCAGCTCAATGACTCTTCCCGCGGTGTCGATGACGCGGGTCTACAAGCGCGCTATGTCGATCTAGAGACTCAGCACCAGAAATTACAAGCAGAGCTGCAGCAGCAGCAACAAGTGACCGATGAGGTCCGGCGCGAAGCATCGACTTTCCTCATGGAAATGAAGACCCTTTCAGCCGAGAGTCACTCCAATTGGGAGCGCGAAGAACAGCTCTCGAACGAGGTTCACAGACTCGAGGCACATGCGAACGAATGGAAGAACCGCTACGCCAAGGTCAAGGCGCAGCTACGGCATATTCGCACGTCGTCCGGTGGTTTCGCCGACTCGCGGCCCGACGCAAGTCTTGTTGCCAAAGAGCATGACTTGGTGCAACCCGACGGCCTGGTCAAGGATTTCCACGTTACTAGGTTCCAACTGTCTATGGACGAGCTCCTGCGGGTTGCGCGTTTCGATGAATCGCACGTTGTGCTCCACCAGAGCAAGATGGTCATTGTAACGGTCCGCCATATTCTTCAGGACGTGGAATATGCCCCGATCCCAATTGATGGATCAGCTGCTCTGCGCGCAAAGGTCAAGGGCCAGGTGTCTACGACAGCAAACAACATGATCACCGCTACTCGCAACTTTGCTAGCTCTAGTGGTCTATCCCCGGTGTCGCTCCTTGATGCGGCGGCCTCCCATCTTTGCACGGCCATTGTTGACTTGATACGGGCGGTGAAGATCCAGCCATCGCCTGTAGATGAGTTGGAGGATGACGATTATGAAGCGGATGTATCTCAGGGGCAATTCCCTGACTATTTTGATACGTCTGCCAGTCAAAGGCGGATGAGTAATAACTCCGTCTACAGTGCTATTAGTCGTCCGGATGACTCTCAGTACCCTGTACAGAATGGTGTGACCAATGATCTCAATCACGGCTGGGGACATGTGGAAGAAGACCACGAGATATTGGAGCTTAAGGTAAGTCGGCCCGAGAAGAGGATAGTATCATAACGAATGATTTACTGACAGTTGGTCCTACCTAGCTCTATGTCGAGGACCAGACGGATGGCATGGTCCAACAAATTCAGGCTCTGGTGGCCAGTATCCGAGCAGAGGACAACATGCATACTGTCCAGACGCACGTCTCTGCCATCTCAAACGTCGTTGCAAATGTGGTTTCTGCTACAGAGCAACTGATGCGCGAACGCACCGGAGACCTCGCTTTGCGGCAGACGTCTGAGCCGGTCATCGCGGCATTAGACCAGTTCCGCGGCCGGTTGACGGCCACTGCTGGTGAGGGTGAAGACGCTACCACCCCTGAACAACTGCGTGAAATCACGAATAAACTGCCACCGCTTGCATTTGAGATCGCTCGGCAGACTAAAGACCTTGTTCAGCGCCTCGAGGCCACATCGGTAGTTGCTGACGAGGAAGACGACTTCCGGTGATCAGCTTGATCAGATGCATTGTTTCTCATGGCATGATCTCCGGGCTACCCATTTTGTCCTTCTTTGCCCTCAAATTCTTTTTTATATTCCTTCTTCTTTGCCCCTTGCTTTTCAGCGACTATTCATCTATGGCAACGAGTGGACAACGTCGAAACGATGTCCCGACATATGTGACATTTATGGGGTTCCTCTCCCTTTCGTCACTTCTCTTTCTTCCATATTCTCTTATTCTTTGTACTCTATTATAGCACATTTCCATTGTTCATCTAGGGTTTTCGGCCTGGTTTCATGTTGGTTTGTTACTTTTTTTACATCTCATGATCGCTTGCTGGTGCCAGGCTATTTTCTTGCATTTTGGATACATACTAAATGAAAGTACTCCGTATATTTCCAGCTCAATGACCAATACTCAACGCAAGTTTACCCCTTTATAGATGCATATGTTCTATCTTCTGTAGCCAAGACTGCTAGTTCGGAAGGGATATCCCGGAAGACATTACATAATCCCGGAGCTCTAGACGCTTTTTGGCATGGAGCTTCGGTTTTTTCTTTCTTTCTACTTCTTTAATTCGCATTCTTTCATCAATCTATACTCTTTGTAAGTGAGCTTGGTCCCTTGTCATGTGATCGTGAGAGTGCATTTCCATTTTGTTTCAGACTCTTTCAGCCACATCATTAGGCAACAGAAGCAGTCATGTTTTACCCCCTGGAGAGAGTCTGGAGAAGCTACAAAGTGGAGCCTCAGGCAGAAAGTGCACAAGTGGTCTTTATGTGGACCTCAACAAGCTAACCCCAAAGTAGCCCGGCACCCGAGTTCACCCGCTCCGCCCTGCCCCTCATCATGTTCTGCCGACTGAGATCAATAACCCCACCTTCTTCCCTCTTCTCTTCTTCTCTCTTCAATTGCTCTTCTTTCCATCCCGCTGCACGAACTTTCGCTTCATCAACCGCCGCCATGTCCAACACCAGCGCTTTCTTCGAGGTCCAGTACGCCCCTGCTGGCTCCTCCACCCGTAAGTTTCTCCATCAGCTCTATTATTCTCACTTCTGGCGGGGCAGCGAGTTTTTGCCCCATCGCCTGCCTCAATCTCACCTCGCTGCCTTCGACCTTCAGCTTTCAATCATAGTATTAAAGCTTGGAGATTTCACATCATGCTACATTAATTGGAATTGAAATTGATGCTGACCCCCTCGTTAGCCAAGATCGGCCGTATCAACTTCAACCTCTACCCCAACGAGGTTCCCAAGACCGCCAAGAACTTCGCTGATCTCTGCAACGCTCAGGAGGGTCAGGGTTACAAGGGCTCTTCCTTCCACCGTGTCATCCCCCAGTTCATGCTCCAGGGTGGTGACTTCACCCGTGGCAACGTGAGTTTTTCTTCTTTCTAATCCCGATAGTTGTTGCAATGCTCGGTATCTGACTTTGTTTTTTTTTTACTGGAATAGGGTACCGGTGGTCGCTCCATCTACGGTGAGAAGTTCCCCGATGAGAACTTCGTCCACAAGCACACCCGCCCTGGTCTTCTGTCCATGGCCAACGCTGGTCCCAACACGTAAGTCTCAACTCAGATTTGTATCCCAGCTGGTTCATACTAAACATTCCCTTCTTTTTCTAGCAACGGCTCCCAGTTCTTCATCACCACCGTTGTCACCTCTTGGCTCGATGGCAAGCACGTCGTCTTCGGCGAGGTCGCTGATGCCGAGTCCATGAACATTGTCAAGGAGATCGAGGGTCTCGGTTCCTCCTCCGGTTCCATCCGTTCCAATGTCAAGCCCACCATCGTCAACTGCGGTGGCAACTAAAAAGCTCATTATGGAGACTTAGTTGGGTGTTGGGAGGATGAACGTCTTTCTTTTCGTGATGAATATGGTTTTTTTCCCAATGCTCCAGTGCGGCGTGGGACTAGCATAGGTGGCTTTCCCTTTTGCGCTTTGTAATCTTAAAGTTTCTACCAAGCTAGCTCATACATGCCTTTCTGCCCTGGGGATTTGAAGTTCAATCTGTTGATTCGTAGTGTAAAAATAACCTTGGGAAGCATTTTCAACCCTTTGTAAGATCGAGGCGCAAAGCCAAATTTCCTGAAACCTGCATCTCAACCAATGCATATTTCAGGCCCACCGTAAACACCGTAAAGCACGGAATTTTGATCGTCGAAACTATCCTATAACAACAAGTCTCACCCTTGCTTGTGTGGTGATTCGAGGACTTTGATCGCAGGTGGACCAACTACATACATCACCGTACCCCGCGTGAGGCGGCAGGTTTTTCTTTTCTTAGGGGAAAAGGTTTCCACCTCATTCCAATGGAAATTTTATAGTATGATATCAATAATATTCATTCTATGCATACTCTACTTTGAGTCTACTCAGTTTATTATGAGAGTCCAATTGAGTAGAGAGTAATTGAGATAAAACAACAGGGTTCGTACGTCATTTCATTATGGGTGAGATCAGGCCCAAGGCGCATACACCCGATGCACAGAAACAAAGGAACAAGGAACAAGGAACAATAAATCTGCAAGCAATAAAGTGTATGTTGCCCTTTACCTTTCCGAGGAAGAGAAAGCAAATACCGGGGATATCAAAGCATATGGCTAAAAATGCTGTAGAATCAAGCGTGGTTAGAGCGTGAGAGCGTGTGGTCAAGGCAAAAGATCCAAAGAGACTTGTTTAACCGCAGCACTTGGTAACGGATGTAGCATCTGACCTGAACAAAAAGCCACGTTAGCATACATAAAAACATAGTATTCAGGAGGCACTGGATGAAATACTTACTCCTGATTCAAGTTCACCGGCTCCCAGGAGAAGATAAACGCGCCGAGGAAAGCACCAATGAAGATACAGATGATGATATACCCATTGAAGTACATGGCAAGCAACATGATAATGTACGCAACTGCAAACTGCGCCATATGCAGCAAAGAGCGCACGGTATGCTCAACAAGCGACGGACGATACGGCGCAAGCATAGCCTCCTGTCTCTCGATGCGCTGGACGCCGACATCCCGCATGGCATTACCCGCCGCCGCAGCCGCAGAGACAGAAGCCTGCTTCCTCGACGCGCCATCCCCAGGAGTACCCGACACCGGGGTGATGATGTCGTCTTCTGCACTGGAGAACGTAGCATCGGGGTCTGGGTTTGCGCAGCAGTTGGCGGACGGCTTGGTGGTGTTTTCTTCGCTTCGCAGGGGAACGTTGGAGATGGACTGTGCGGTTGGAGAGTCGGACATGTAGAGGCGTCGAAGACGGGCCCGACGAACAATGAACGTGTCGTATTCTCGACCCAGACGACGGAGGAGTTCAAGACTCAGTACGAGACAGATGACGCCGATGCATGAACCGGCGAACATCCCGCGTGATGTGACGTGCCATGACTCGGCGAGGAAACCTAGGGTTGGTTAGGTTAGCCTTTGGGACTTGTATAGAGGGAAGGGTTTGGTTTGGTTATTGGGTGGGCTACGACGTACATGCGTCAACTGTGTACCAGTTCCAAAGCATCTGATCATGATTGTGAGTATGGGTTTTAATGCGGTAGGGAGTCTGAGATTGATATTAAACGGACTGATATTTTGCAACTACCACCCATTCCCATTCCACCCATGTCCATTCCGCTCATGTCCATTGCGGTGCTGCTGGCAGTAGCTGCCGAGGCTGTTGACGTGGCTGTCGCCATGGTCATTCCGTGCATATCCATGATCGACGATTTGACTGGGGACCTTTGGAGCGAGTCAAAACAGAAAGCAAAGTAGTACAAAATAAATATAAACAAAAAGAATCGAAAGAATAGAATGGGAGATATAAATGGACTCGTACCATATGATGCCCTAATGAGAGCAATATGAGCAGATTTATAGATTTTGGCCCTAAAAAACTTAGTGAGGCAGTTTGAGCAGATTCTCTCTGTGAGTGCACATGTGATAACATTAAACGTAAGACAAGGGTATCAACTTTCAACTTTCAACTATTCTCTCCCATTTGAAATCTCCTTTTTTGTTTTGTTTTTCTTTTTTTCTTTTCTTTTCACCCGCGCGATCCTTTGATGACACCTTCCAACAATTCGCGGATCTGACTGCACCCGTCGATCCCGACCGCCAACATTGTCTCAAGGTACGTAGCGTGCACCTTAGACTCCATAGTAAGCACACACACCTTCATTGCCTCTTCTTCATCCTCCATACTGTTCTCGCCAACGGGCACTGCCGTCGTCGTCGCAACAGTAAGCGAAGGCAGTTCCTGTTCTTCTGGGAGTGACAGATCCAGCAGTGGATCAAGCTCGTCGTGTCGCGGGTCACGCGGTGTGGAGGCGCTGCCACTCATACCGGAAGTACAGCCACAGAGTAGTCCTGGCATAGGGATACCGGCATCCACGAGCGCTAGCGTACAGGCGTTGATCGCCGCAGCGAGCAATGAGCCATCGGCAGAGAGAACGGAGACATGGATGCTGATTGTGCTGTGGGGGTAGAGGTAGGTGTGGAGGTGAGACTGGAAGGCTGAGCGGAGGGTTGTAGCGATTCGTGATGATTGTCTGTAGTTCAAGGAGTTAAGATTCGCATTGGCTGTATTTGGATTTGGTCTGCTCTCCCTGTGACTCTCTCCAAATGGTAGGAGGAGGTGATGGGGAAAGCGGAAGAGTGTGCATACCTGTCACTTCCACCGGCTCTCCGCTTGCGATCGACACCGGCGAACCCAGCGACGTTGACGTCTACTTCCACGACTGCATGGCCACTTCCTGCAGCTCCACCTCCGCCATCTCCTCGGCGACCCTCGGCGGGGCCGTGGACAGAGCACATGATTGAGGTGTTGCCCATGGACAGGTATGAGGAGCCGGAGCTAGCGGGGTTGGTTGAGATCTGGGCCTGGAGCAGACGGAGTTCGTTCCAGCGGCGGCCATCAAGGCGCAGCCGTGTCAGAGGATATGTCGTCGAGGTGTCGAGCGGCATCTTTGCGGATTGGGTTCTGATAAGAATGAGAGTTGTCTTGGGCGAAAAGAGGGTATGTCAAGCAGGAAGTCAATCTTTATTTTGTGTCCTCTGTGGGCTTAGGTTAGTCAGGTGTATCTTTATTGAGCAATGACAGAGGTAGAATATTACTCTGGACTTACCTTGACTCTATCGCATATGCAAAGAATCGAATGCCAAACCAATGAGAGCATCTTTTTTTCTGGTTCGCTTGCACGTGACCCCATGGAACAACTCTATGGTTTCAACCACTTCTTCGAGCACTCAGGAAAATATAAACAGAGGCTCAACTCTGTTTGAGGTGGAAAACGAAACAGAGTACCCAAATTCTATATTAAAGAATGTTCAATTGAAGTTATCTTGAGTGAAAGATTCGAGCTCGCTCTGTGGCCGTTATCGTCCGCCGTAAGCGACATCGTGTCTCTCGACAGTCTGGTACTCCCACGTCGACTTACGCTCTGTCACCCCCTGAGCTCTGTTTTCAGAAATGCTGAGAACATGGCTGATAACGAGAACACCGATGAGGCCATTACCATTGATTCAGATGATGACGACTTGGAGGTGGCGCACTATGCGACTCCAACTGCTAGCAGTATGACATTATGACGCCTCTACGACGCGTTTGACAGACAGCTCACATTCTCCCAAGACAGGTTTTCTGGTGTGAAACACGAGGCTGATACACCGGTTAAACAAGAGTCGTTGCGTACTCTTCTTTCAGGGTCATCAAGCGCTGTAAAGATCCAGCCCGTGGACAGCGATGAGGAAGACGCCAACGATGGCGAGCTGGCATATAAGAAGTTCAAAGAACGCAAATCCCTCAAGCGGAAACAAACTGCCGCAGCAACCCGCAAGGCCAAAATGCCCAGGGGAGATCCAATCGTTGGTCGAGTAAAGCAAGAACGGCCAACGCCTCAGCAGAAGCGGCCCTTGAAACAATGGGGCGAAGTGGCTTCGGAGGACGAGCTGATAGAAGATGCCTTGCCTGGATATCTCAAAAGTCGCCGCAGTCAGTTCGAGAAGAAGCATCAGCATCTGAAAGATCATGGACTAAAACTACCACCCACCTACAATGATGTGGATTTCTCTGATGATGAACGGCTCGAAGAACTGCAAGAAAGACCCGCCTTTCCGGATAACACACACAAGCAGGAGTACAAGGACATCGAACTGCCATATTCGATGGGCATTATTCCCGCCCCGATCGCCCAGTGGTTACGGCAGTATCAAGTGGAGGGTGTCGCGTTTCTCCACGAGCTGTTTGTATATCAAAAGGGTGGTGTTCTAGGAGACGACATGGGTCTTGGAAAAACCATCCAGGTAATTGCTTTCTTGACTGCTGCCTATGGAAAGACGGGGGACGAACGTGACGCGAAGCGCATGCGAAAGATGCGCAGATCTAATGACAGCGCTTGGTATCCACGCACGCTCATCGTGTGCCCGGGATCCCTTATCGCAAACTGGAGGGCCGAGTTTGCACGCTGGGGATGGTGGCATGTTGATAGCTACCATGGGGAGAATAAGGATATTGCTCTCGATGCGGCGAAGTCAGGAAGAGTGGAAGTCCTGATCACCACCTATACCACCTACATGAACAACAAAGAATCCGTCAATATGATTGAATGGGACTGCGTGATCGCAGACGAGTGCCACAAGATCAAGGAGCGCAAATCGGGGACCACCCAATCCATGAACGAGATCAATGCGCTATGTCGAATAGGGCTCACTGGCACAGCCATCCAGAACAAGTATGAGGAATTATGGACCCTTCTCAACTGGACAAACCCGGGTGCTCTAGGTCCGGTAAGCACCTGGAAGGCACAAATATCGGACCCACTGAAGATCGGACAATCACACGATGCCACCCTGAGTGAGCTCAGCAGAGCACGGAGAACAGCCAAGAAGCTGGTCGAGAACTTGCTTCCACAATTTTTCATCAGGAGGATGAAGTCCCTGATCGCGGATCAGCTGCCCAAAAAGATCGACCGGGTTGTCTTCTGTCCTCTGACTGAGACACAAGCCGAGGCCTACGAGAATTTCCTTGACAGTGACATTGTCGATTATATCAAGACATCTACAGAACCATGCGATTGTGGATCGGGCAAGAAGGCCGGCTGGTGTTGTCGTCGCTTTATCCCCGATAGAGACCCTCCAATCTGGCAATCCTATGTGTTCCCTGCTATCAATGTGCTTCAAAAGCTCAGCAATCATCTGGCAATCCTGATTCCACAAGGAATAGACCCAAAAGAAAAGCAGGAAAAAGATAGAGATTATCTGGAACTTGCGCTGCCTGAGCAATGGGAAGATCTTTACCGCTCGCGCGACTCGATTGTCAACTACGCGAACCCCGAGTTTTGCGGCAAATGGAAGGTTCTACGGAAGCTACTTAAGTGGTGGCATTCGAATGGAGACAAAGTTCTTATCTTCTCGCATAGCGTGCGTCTTCTCAAGATGTTGCAAATGCTGTTTCATCACACTAGCTACAACGTCAGCTACCTGGATGGATCTATGAGTTTACAAGACCGTGCAAAAGCTGTTGACGAGTTCAATGCCGACTCGCGCCAGTTTGTTTTCCTAATATCAACCAAGGCTGGTGGTGTTGGGTTGAATATCACCTCGGCAAACAAAGTGGTAGTCGTTGATCCAAACTGGAACCCGTCCTACGACTTGCAGGCCCAGGACCGAGCCTACCGCATAGGACAACTTCGCGACGTGGAAGTCTTCCGACTTATTTCTGCCGGCACGATCGAAGAAATCGTCTACGCTCGACAGATTTACAAGCAACAACAGGCAAACATTGGATACAACGCAAGTTCCGAGCGTCGGTACTTCAAGGGTGTCCAAGAAAACAAAGACAAGAAGGGTGAGATATTCGGTCTTAAGAATTTCTTCGGATATCAGAACACGAACATCGTCCTGCGCGACATCGTCAACAGAACAAATGTTGCAGAAAGCCGTGCGGGAGTAGAGGTCGTCGATATAGATCTCAAAGCAGAAGAAGGCTACGACTACACCGACCGACCAGTGAAATCGGAAGACGAGGCAATGAGCCAACTCGCAGCGATGATATGCGGCGACGATGACGAAAAAGATCACAAGCTTTCAGCCAGTCTTCCGACACCACATAAACACGACCCCGTTCAAGCGATTCTCGCCAGCGCAGGCGTGGAATACACCCACCTCAACAATGAAGTGATCGGTTCCTCGCGTGTCGAGGAAGACCTCAGTCGTCGTGCTGAACTGGCTCAAAATGACACGACAGGTGACCGTCAGGTCTTCATGTCCTCGCAGCCTTTCTCTCAGCCGGCGGAGGAACCTATGCGATTCAAGTACCATCCGCCGGAGGATGTCATACGTCGCCAGTTCTGTAGTATGGCGCGGCGGTTCGGATACGCTGATGCTACGGAGTTCGCGCTCGTTGTTGAGGGGATGACCCAGGCGCAGCGGAGAGCTTGTCTCGATCAGTGGTATCGAGAAAGGAGGGAGGTACTACTTGCTGCGGCTCAACACACTCCTAAGGAGATGGATGTTGAAGATGAATGGATCAAAGATGAAAAGGGCCCCAAGGAGGAGAGTCCGGGTCTTTGAGTGGTTTTTCTTTTGTTGCTATTCCTTTCTACTCGATACCCCTTTCTAATTGTATAACATGCATTAAATAAATGCGATATTTGACCACACTCGCTAAAAACAAGTTCATCTGGATAACATGGAACCTGCAAATCATTGGTATTAGACCATTCTCTTAGGATGGCTGTAGGTAAATAGATATCCACATGAAGATCGCATCATAGACAGGGGACCTAAAGCCAAGCCAAAGTCCACAGTGCCGGCAAATTGGGATATCTTTCTTGCCAATCCGCCAAGATCTCAGGGACCTTCTCGTCGAAGCTCTGGCGCGCAGGACCAGTCCCGTTTTCCCAGCCCTCAGATCCATGAACACGATGCTCAGCAACAGCAGCCTCGTTCAGACGATTGGCTAAATCAAGAATCGCCTTTCCACCAGTCAAGGCCTCCTCATGGTTATCCTTGATATCGACATTGAAGACATGGACGGGGTAATTGAGCGCGGTGCCCTTATTCATCAAATCGTCGACAACAGCATCCCAGCAGCGCTCCTCGCATGTGATGATGATATCCACGATACCGCCCTCCGTTCCGACAGCACCCTTATCACCCTTGGAGAGGTGGTCGACACGCGGGACGCCAGGTACCCAGTCCTGGAACCGCTCGGGTCCCCACTTCAGCTGGCGGTTGCGGTCGAGCATATTCAGGATACCGTTTCCGCGGTACAGACGCTCGTCTTTTCCGGAGAGCTCCTCGTACATTTGGTTGTAGGAGGTTGAGTTGAAGCTGTACACGTTTGGTTGTGTGATTGATGGACCGGGGAGACGGACGAGGGAACCTGTGCCGAAGGATATCACGGGGAAGGCGGTTGGGGCGCCGGAGAGCTGGAGGTGAGCTTCCATTGAGCGGTTGTTGTTTGAGGCGCAGACTGTGCAGAACTTGAGCTTGTACGAGTCTGTGGCGGCGTTGGCCGGGTTGGACGTTTCTAGGGATTGGGCTGCTGCGGCCATGTCGGCTTGTGTGGATGTCTCTGGTGGTGGAGGGGAGGGGGAGGAGGTTGGGGAGTTGAGGTCCCCGAGTTTGTTCGGCGGGGATCATATGCCATTTTGATGGGAAGACTATGGAGATGATTTGATAATAGAGAGAGAGAGAGACTAAGGGGGTTGTTGTTTCTAGGTAATTTTTTTCTTTGAGTCGATGATCATGGGGGTTTCTTGAGTTTACAATATTCTGTTGACTATCAGATGCAAGTTAGCGACTGATTTAGGTGAAATTGTTGGTGACATGAGAGGTGGAAACACAAGTTCAGAAAAAAAGCGTATATGAATTTATCCGCATAGCAAAAGCTCAGACAGCTCCAATAATATATTCATCAGGTTGAGGGGGAGGAGAAGGTAAACACAACACACATACCTTGTAGTTATCACTCATTATCCAGTTCGAATCATTATTGGGGCCGTAGCCCTGAGGTAAGAGAGAAGAGCAGTTTTGGTGAAAGTTGAAAAGCTTCCTTTTTAGTGTCCTGGCTTAGTCATGGAGTTACCGCTGGTTCTTCCGCCTACATGCAAGAGCTAGTGGGAGCTCATATTCTGCCTGACAAATATTATGGAGCTTATCGTAATTGTTGTACACCACGTACTTTTGTCTTTAGATATCTCTATCTTATAAGGACTCTGCCCCATTTCCCTTGCCCATAGAGTACCAACCAGAATCTACCATCCCCAAAGGATCCCAAATCCCTCCATAATCCTGTCCATCACCTCCATCACCTCCATCACCTCCATCACCAGCTCTCTACTCCTATATTTTTCCAGCTCAAAAAATGGCAGCAGATCGTACGATCCGACCAGCCCTGATTGTGGTAGACATGCAAGAAGATTTCTGCCCTCCAGTGAGTTAAATAAATTCAATAGAAGGCCATATATGCTAATAAGCAAAGTAGCATGGGTCACTCGCCGTGCAAGGGGGCCGCGACATTGCCTCAATAATCAACACTCTACTTGCAAAGCCAGGATTTGTCGCGCGCATCTTGACCAAAGACTACCACCCAACGGACCATATCTCATTTGCCAGTAATCATCCAGGGCCTGATAACCAGCCCTTTTCTTCATTCGTCACAATGAGCAACCCCGCTCTAGGAAAGGAATCAGAAACAAAACAACAGCAACTATGGCCCGTCCATTGTGTGGCTGATACCTCGGGCGCAGATATTATCCCAGAGATTGACACCTCTAGCAAACATCTAGTTGTTCACAAAGGCATGCGTCCCGAGGTTGAGATGTACTCTGTGTTTGCGGATGCCTTCGGGAACTGCGATCATGGAACCAACGCACATTCGGTCAGCATAGATGTCGCCGCGACTCTCAAGAGTCAAGGCGTTACAGATGTATTTGTTGTGGGCTTGGCTGGGGATTATTGTGTCAAGGCTACTGCTCTTGATGCTGCCAAGGTTGGATTCAAGAGTTGGGTTATCGAGGAGGGAACCAAGTGTGTCGTGTCTGCTAGTTGGGATGCTGTTAAGGGGGAACTTGAGGCTGCTGGAGTGTCTATTATCTCTATGAATGATTCCATTATCAGGGAGCTATAAGCAAAGTGCAGATATTCTTATTTTCTTTCATCCTACTTCTATCATGCAATTTTCCCCTTTCAAGTGTTTGTTGTGTTTGTTGTGTCGAATATAGATTCGGTTTTAGATCTCATTCTTTAACTACTGTGTAGGTCTTACGATAGTGCTACAGATGTATAGACGGTGGAAATGTATCTTTCACATGGATGTGTTAGTAATAGTATGTCGGATACCAAAATAGATTAGTTGGAGAAGTGATCGACAACTGCCAGAAACGTTCCCAACTTCATCCCCCTTTCCGCACTACTGCAGAGTGACGTCGTGTCAAGGGGGGAGATTCACCACTCAACACTCGAACATATCATATTTTACTACAGTAGATCAGTTCAGAACTCAATCTACTCGCGATGCTTAACTTTAGGCGGCCATCTATGCCCCCAGTCAGCACACTCAACGAGAAATCAACCAATGCCGATGCCGATGCCGATGCGGCGGCCCTGAACTTCCACGATCACAGCATACCCTCCGAACCCCTCCCATATTGGCTGGTCAATTTACCTCGGTCGCAATGGACGGCCGAATGTCCTAGCTTTCTACGTGATCAATCTCCAAAAAATATCCAATGTCTCTCGACCCCTGATCACCTTTATATCCGACAGGATTGGGAGCAAGTGAAGGAGATCACCAGTTGAGTACAGCTACTAACTAGTTAGTAATGTACTCAACTCACTAACTATAACTTGTGAATCCTAGGTACCAACCAGATTGATCGGTTCCAGCGCGTCCCAAGCGAGCTGCGCAAGTATCTGGAATACATGGCGTACATCAAAGCGGAGTATAGATCCGTCATGAGGTTTGTGGTCAAGGAAAGACTGGGTTGGGGGGATGGCAATTGGGAGGATGTCAAGCCAAGAGGTGGTCCTTTTGAATACGAGGGTATGGCACAGGTCACCAGATTGGGTTTAAGACCACGTGAAAGACTAATTCACTGTCTAGAGGACATCCGAATCATATACAACGACTGGCCATACGGTGTGGACAAAGACATCATCCACCTGGTAGTGTGGACCAAGTTCGACCTGGAAGATGATCCAACCACAGATGACCTAACGGCAAGTGCCCGGGCAGCCATAGAGAGCTATGTGCAAGACACATTTTGTTCTCGGGTACCAGCCGAACAGGTATGGCAGAAAGTCGACATTAGTATGATGAAAAGCTGACAACATAGGTGGTCTGGTTCAAGAACTGGAAGTCACTGAAGTCTGTCCCCGGGATAGAACACTTCCACGTCATGCTCCATCGTCCCGATATGGCATTTGTTAGGGAGATCACCCGTGGAGATGTACCGCTGATCGAACGGCTATGATAGCCACGAGTTGACAAACTTGATTGGATTGAAGATAGAGAGGGAAATTAGAGGGAAATAGAGGGGGAAAAGGGGGTGGAATCATTCTCCTTTTCTGCATGTCCTAGGTTCATAGGTACCAAGCATCATATAGTTACATGCAGCCGTACAAAGTATACGAATACGGTACTTGTTGAATTCCCCGCCAAGCCATGCCCCTCATTGACGATCTTTGGGGGGAAAGGTTGAATGAATATGTATATGCAGCATATATCAAGAGGTTTAGATGTACATTTTGAATGCCATGAATGTTTAGGTGAGAGAGAGATATCTACCTAGTTAATGGTATAGTTATAATCCTAGTAATGCTAGTACTAATCCCAGTAATTCCAATTAGAAAAATACGTCACTTCCAAGGTTGGCCCCTCTTTGAAGCTAAGCATTTTACATTTCAATTCGGTCTTTTTTTTTTTTTTTTGTAGAATAATTTTTAGTGTCTTTTTTAGTGCCTTGTCTTTTTTTCGTTTTTTTGTGTTTTTTTCCACTTCATCGTAAAAAGCCCGTTTCCGGAATTTCCGCCACGAAGTCAGCTGTCTCAGTTTTCACTCAGGCATCTATATTTGATTTTTTGATTCTTCTTTTTGTTTAATAAATGTTGCAAAGCTTAGGAATTTAAGGAATTCCATATAATTCATTTCCGAACGCAGTCATGCCGGTTCCGCATCTCCGCCGTACTTCGCAGAGTGAGTTTGTCTTCCCCCTCTTTTTATCACACTGTCATACATTCAATTATTTGATATTTGATATTTGATAATTTCAACATGTCAACTAACGCAGATCCAGGCAGATCATCCATGGAAGATTCTCCGCCAAGTGGGGAGGACGAGCTCGTTGAGCCAGATCAGGGAAATGGTGCGTGCAAAGCCTCAATAACTCCGGGACATACAACTGACTTGATATGCCTCTGTAGTTCTTTCGCACATCATTTCTCAGCTACGGCCGGGTGCCGACCTGAGTCGGGTCGTCTTGCCGACATTCATCCTTGAGCCCCGGTCTATGTTGGAGCGAATCACAAAGTGCGTTTACATCCAGCTCTCCAGCTCCTAGCTAGCTTGCATGCTAGCTAGCTAGGAGCTACCTGCTACTATTGGGATATATCAACTAACATAAGAGCTTTCATAGCTTCATGGCCCACCCTGAAACCCTCCTTCCTATGTCGACAATTGAGGATCCGGTTGAGCGCTTTATCTCCGTGGTCAAATTTTACCTGAGTGGGTGGCACATCAAACCTCCGTATGTCGCCCGCTTACTGTCTGTCTGCGAACACATTCTGATATTTGTATAGAGGAGTTAAAAAGCCGCTCAACCCCATTCTTGGAGAGACCTTCACCTGTTATTGGGACTATCCCGACGAAACCCGCGCCTACTACATCTCCGAACAGACCTCCCACCACCCGCCGAAGTCAAGCTATTTCTTTGCAGCGCCGGAGCATAAAATTCGCATTGATGGAACACTCAAGCCCCGCAGCAGGTTTCTGGGCAACTCCGCAGCTAGTATTATGGAGGGTATCGCCATTTTGCGGTTGATGAACCACGGAGATAAAGAAAAGGGTGAAAGATAGTATGTTGCGCCGGTTTTACCTATGGACCTTCCAGTCACTGACAAACACTAGTATTCTGACCCAACCCAATATGTATGCACGCGGCATTCTTTTCGGGAAGATGAAGTATGAGCTTGGCGATCACAGCTACGTGCGTTGTCCTGAGAACAATCTGGTGGCCGATATCGAGTTCAAAACCAAGGGATATTTCTCCGGTACTTATAATGCAATTGGGGGAACTATCAAGAATGAAAAGACTGGGGAGGTGTTATATGAACTCTCCGGATTGTGGAATGGGGAGATGGACCTGAAGGATGTTCATGTACGTTCCGTATACTTTCAATGTTCTTCTGGATTCAAAACTGACCGAGAACAGGCCCACAAAAAAGACATCTTGTTCGATGCGACACACGCCAAGCATACAGCTCCTTTGGCCCGCCCCATGGAGGAGCAAGGAGAGCGGGAATCGCAGCGATTATGGCATAACACGGTTCAGGCGCTTTTGTCCCGAAACCATGAAGCTGCAACGGACGAAAAGACCAAGATCGAAGACCGCCAACGAGATGAGGCCGCGAAGCGCGCCGATGAGGGAGTCGAATGGCATCCTCGGCTTTTCCGTCCCATCCAAGGCGGACCTGGTGGACCGGATGAGGGCGAAGAAGACCTCGACTGGATCATCAATGCTCAAGTGTAAGAACAATTCCTCAAACCGTAAGAACTATAACTGACAGTCCTAGCGACATGCACGATCCCCAAGTCGCCACCAAGCAGATCCTATCCATCGCACCCATCCTCCAAGGTCAGAAGGAGTCATCCCAATTTCACATCCCGCCGCATGACCCCGATGGTTCCGCTTCCGCGAACTAGGACCCTAGGCATATCCCTCCACAACCAGCTAATGCCACACCCTCAGGCTCCGAGACAAAAGCAGATGCCACCCAAAGCACCGTGGAACGGACAGATACTCAAACATCAGAAGTGGAGAAGTTTGTAGACGCCGAGGAAATCTCATAAGCTAGCACGAAAAAGCCCCATTGCGTCCACCTCCGGCCCCATCCATGCTATCACCGACTTAATCAAACACCTGGTCGGTTGCTCAGGTCGCCTTTTCCTTCTCTCGCCTCCTACCTGTGAATGAACCCTAGTGGTTATCACACTCCCCTCTCCCCCCTCCCTCCCCTTCTCTCATTCTGCCATGATGTAGTCAACCTGCGCAGAAATACCCAGCACAGCCACAACTCGAGGCGGCCGATGACACGACCATTGTGATAGTTCCCTCTGGTGTTTCAACACAGCGTTTTTCTCGGTCACCATGCCGCTCCCATTGCTGGATACCCGATCTGATTTTATTTAAATTTCCAAAATCATCAAAATACTTTTATGAAATCTCAACTGAACATGAGCACATCCCTAGTGGAAATGAAGAGGTAGGTGGCCAGGTTTAATACAGCGTAGAGGCATAAATACAATAGAACAAGACGAATAGTCATTGGGAATATGTAAGACGTTGAGCGTTTTCTGCATTTTATACACTTAGGGCTTGGTATTTTGGACCTTTCTTATCAATATCTCCGTTTACCCTCACCTTTTACTATGTAGTCTCCGGGATTCTTGCCTCTCTTGTTCACATCCACAGTATTGACTTTTGATCGATTAATTTTGTGTCTTCTCTGTCCATTACTATACAAAGCTCTCCTAGAAGAGAGGGATATCACAATAGATGGCAACTAACCCATGCCACCAAATATTACCATACAAAGACAACCGAAACTCCCCATCCGCTATCCGAATACATACAAAACGCCGCGTCAAACCATTCTTTACTCCCGGAAGGACATACCCATCAGAAAGCCGCACAAAGCTCATGAATACAGCTCACCCCTGTATCCAGCCCCACGCTCTAGATCTCGCCGCCGATTAGGCCGCGGGATAGCACCAGCAGAGCCAGTATAGGCCAAGCCAGAGCCCGCCGCCGCCGAACCCGCCGAAGCGATCGATCCACCACCGTCATATTCCTCCCTCTCCTCCTCAACCAGCATCGTCTGCTCCTCAATCTCCTTCTCGGTATCCTCACGCAAACCCAGTATATCCGGCGGGATAAAGCTCATCTGGACACTGGGTGCACCCTTGATATACCTCAGCTGTTCATGAACAGCCTCGACAAGACCCTCAAGGTACGCGCGGGTATTCTTATTATCAAGCTTGCGCATCTCCGACAGGGGCGGGAAGAGCGAGAAATCAGGACCGAAGTGGTTTCGGAAGGCGACAGAGTCCGGGATCGTGGAGTCAATGATGTTGTCAGCGTCCACCAGAATCGAGGTTTCGTGCGCCCATGCGCGGGAAACGTTGCGCGGCGTGTAGCCACCGCCGCCAACGACTAGCAGAGGCACCCCGAAGGTCTTGGTGTATGCGACACAGGCGCCGTGCGCGCGCACGTTCAGGTTGAAGCAGCCTAGTCGGTCGCAGCCTAGACTGTCTGCGCCGCATTGCAGGACGATTGCGCCTGGTTGGTAGGTCTTCATGCATGCGCCGATTACCTCTTTGAAGAGGTCGATGTAGGAGTCGTCGTCGATACCGTCGTTGAGCGGGACGTTGATGGCGTGGTGGGCGCCTGGGTTGAGCGGGTGGGCGGGGCCGGTGTCTTCGCGTGCACCGGTGCCGGGGAAGAAGTTGTCTTTATCGTATTTGTGGAAGGAGACCGTGAGCACGCGATCGGTTGACCAGAAGGCCTGCTCGACGCCGTCGCCGTGGTGTACGTCGATATCGATGTACATGACGCGTGGGTGGTGGCGGAGGAGCTGGAGTGTGCCGAGGACGATGTCGTTGACGTAGCAGAAGCCGCTCGCTTCTGCTTTTTTGGCGTGGTGCAGGCCGCCGGACCAGTTGATTGCGATGTCGGATTGGTCGTTGCAGAGCTTGCGCGCGGCGTCGACGGTGCCGCCGGCGTATAGCGAGCAGTAGCTGTACAGCCCGTCGAAGATGGGACAGTCGTCGCCAAAGTTGAAGCGCACTACGTTATCTGATTGCTCGGGTTTGTCTATGTCGCCGGGCATGATCTGTTGCAGGAAATCGAGGTAGTCTCGCTCGTGGAAGTCGGCCATTTCCTCATAGGTCGCTGCGCGCGCGAGATACAGGTCCATGGCGTGGTGCATGCCGTATGCCATGACGAGCTGTTTGGTGAGCGTGAGGCGCCATGGCTTCATTGGATGTGACTGGCCAAAGTGGTGGGGCTCGACGGCTGGATTGGCATGCCATGATACCCGGTAGCCTTTTGGACGCGCTATTTGTAGGTTCTGAAGCTCGGCGATGGACTTGTGGTCGATGGTGAGGGTTGGGGCGGAGGGCGATGCATATTCCTGAACAACGGAGGAGCGAGCCATCGAGGCAGATATTGGTAAACGATCAAGAATCACGGGATTA